AACCATGATGCAAACAGTGAAAATTTTTTTCCTTTGCAGTTCAGTCAGGTAATATCAGCAAACAAAAGATCAGGTTTGTACCAACCAACTCTAAAAACAGCCGTGCTGATGAAGGCAGAACCTAGTATTTGACATTTTTGTATATGGTCGAAACATCGATCTTTTAGCTACAAGTGTTGGTCGTGTTTGGCAGGGCAAAGGGCGTTGGAATAGAGCCCCATCAGCAATTCTCTTCTCTCAGTGCTCTTCTTTAGTTTTTTTTCATGATATTTTAATGGAAAGTTTCCCTGCTTCCCTATGATTTAGTGCCATTTTTCTAAATAACTCCCGTTTTCCAATTCCCCTAGCGATTGATTTTCGTAATATCCACAGTGTCGTGCGAAAGGCGAATTAGCGGAGGTCATTAGAGGCTGGCGCCGCGATGGCGCCACATTCCCGTCGGTGTCCGCGTGGCACCGCGTCGTTCGCCATGGCAACGGATTATCGATCCTCAAACAATCGGGGCCTCGGTCCGTTTGTCAAAGACAACCACGTGATTCGATGTGCGAAAACCAGAGCCGGTGGTTGTGTCGATGGTTCGAAGCATCTATTATTTAGATTGGTTTGTCTGGCGGACGCAGGAGGATTGTCTCGACGATGAGCTTTGTGTTTTCGTAATGAAAGAACAGAGAAAACGAAAGCGACGAGATGGATGACGAACAAATTGTTTTCCTAGGTGTGCTGGGTGTTACGAAAAAAGCCAGTCCTCTAAACTACCAGATTGACTCTTTATTCGTTTTCATACCATACAAATTGTACTAGACTTTTCTGAGCTTTTGATTGTGTGGATCATTCACCTTTATGCACTACTATCTGACTATCTGATGGTCCACGGGCCCTCTTTTGCGACTACTTGAAAAATAGAAGACAAGTTGATAGAACGACAAATGGTGTGTCGAAAGTTGGTGAAGTGCTATCAGGGGTGCCTCAAGGATTAATCTTGGGGCCGCTATTATTTTTACTGGATATATTTGATTTTGGGTACCGCGCCGCAGTTGTGCCAATCTCAATCATATGCTGACGATACCCAGCTTGCTCATTTTTTTGACACGTTCCGTTATGATGAGGTCGAAGCAGATATTAATTTCGATCTGCAGCAGGTTGTTTTGAGAGACATGCTTTAAGGTTAACTGCGGTTAGAACTCAGGTGCTACTCTTTGCTCGCGACTCAGCAATGCACTTCCTGAAAAGATACTTGTAACTTGAGAAAAATGGGGAACGCTTGTCGTTTGCTACCAAGGCCACTTACCACAACTTACCTTTTAGTTAAGACTCTATATGCTAATAAACATATATTGAACTTTAAAGTTAGGAAAAAACTGTGTGAGTCATATATTATGTCTGCATTGTCAAATTGCCTCGTATTGTTTTACCCATGTTTAATACTCCTTGATCGTCGACGCCTTCAAAAAATACTAAACAGCTGTTGTAGGTTTGTGTATGGCTTATGGAAATATGACCACGTGTCCCCTAAAATTAATTTGTTGCAGTGGAAGAGAACAGATAATTTATTTGAGTATCTATTCGCGGTGTTAATATACAAGATCCTAAAGTCTTCTAGCCCTCCTTATTTAATAGATAAGCTAGTTTTTCGCTGTGAAACCCATAACGCAGATATTAAGGAGAATACGCTCACTGTGCCTCAACACAGATCTGCTCTTTACGAGCGTTGGTTTACCTATAATGCGGCAAACACTTTAAATCGGCATAGAAACTTATTTGCCTTATCTTTAAAACTATTTCGGTAGAATATTAAAATCGCGTTATTAGATAAATAAAGTGCTGATTGGGTTTTTTTCGTCTTTTAATTAATTACAGAGATGTGTGTTTCTTAGTTTCTTTTTATTTTTCTTTATCTTTTCATTACTACGGGTTCTTTTGTTACACATTGTATTGTCATAAAGCTGTATAATATATTGATTAATTGTGTTGGGTTAATGTTGAGTAGCTGCGTATTATATATATCATGTATCTTAATTCTCAAGAAAGACTATTATTATTATACAAAATCGATGTCCTAAAAATATATAATTATTTATTTAGAAATTTCTCCGAAATTTGATCTACACTTATTTCGACCAGATCTAAAGACATTTTCTTTATAACATGACTTTCATGTTAACATTATTCCTTGGTTCTAATGGACGTCTAAGGGCTCGAACGTTTTTTTATATGATTTCTAGAATTACAAAAAAGTAAAAAAGGTTTTTTTAATTGAGAGTCCAAATACTAGAATTTAATATTTAGTGGCTAATTGTGTTTTTTCTAAAATTCTTACAGAAAATGTGTTTTTCTACTCTAGTCTAAAATCCCCAATTGACCATTGATAAAGCGTACACACAAGGCAGTTTTGCAAAAATGTACCCAGAAATTAATGAGGGTAGAAAAATATAGTATGCAACACGTTGACAAACTTTTTAGTTACTAAGAATGCGCTCCGCCCGTGCCAAATCAAACTCGTGACTAAAATTACGTTTATCGAACATTTTGCATAATATACTATTCTTGGAGATGAAATAACAATATTAGAACTAACGAGACTATGCAACACGATGAGAAACTTTTTGACTCGCTCATTCTAACAGCGGCTTTTCTGATGGCAAATTGTGACTAAAGGGTTTATCAAATGCTAGAACTAACGAAAGTATGCAACATATTAAGAAACTTCTCCACTTACGCATTTAACAGTGATTTCGCGGTGGTGTGGAAGTTTTACGTGATTTTAAATTTACGGATTTTATGGACAATATTGAACACGTTGAAAAAAATATTCATACCTCATTTAATGCCTGGAAGAAACTGTTCTTACAAATATGAAAACTATTACAGACATTGGACATTTTTTATGAAGTTATGTCAATACTAGAGTTTTGCGGAACACACGAAGCGCTATTACCCAGCCGAAACAAAAGGACTGGAAATGAATAGCCAACGTTATTGTATATAATATATATGAATGTCCACCTACAAGGCCCAGGCGTTGTAATGCCAGTGGTGTAAGTAACAAATGGCATCAAAATAAAATTTAGTATTCAGACAGACGCGCCAAAGTCCAAAAATTTAGTCAGCGTCAATTTAAATTTACGTGACGCAGCTGGGTAAGAACTTTTTTAATTAAAAATTGACGTTACCGCAAACGACTTTGCTCGACGAATTGAGCTTTCGATATTGCTTGGACAAAAACGCAACAAAAATTACCTTTTCTAAGTCCAAAATAACAGTCTTGTTAAATGTTCTGGATTCTTTTCAGCCCTGCGTATTTTTCAATCTAGAAAACAACCAATCGATAACTCTTAAAAATAATAATTATTTATTTCCCCGAAGTCAGATAAAAAGCAATAAAAGCCACTTTATGCTTTCCATTGTTGTCGTAAGCTCCGTTTCTGAGCTTTTAAGTCTGGTCGATTTGCTTCATTCAGACTACATAAAACATGTAAGTACGGGCTCCTAATAGGACCCAAGCCGTTTCCACTGTTACTTTTGTATCACTAAAACGAGCGCAAAAGATTTGCCGCAGTTGCCGGTGACAAATGGTTTTCCAGCCGCTTCGCTAACGAGTGAGCGAGAGAGTGCATTTTGTAAAAAGACGTTTTGCCATCGATACCGTTAAATTGTCGTTTGGGTTTCGTACGTAAACATTCCATTCGTTTCGGTTCGACACTCTGATGTTTCCGGTTTCTTATGGAATGATAGTCTTGATATAGATGCGTTTCATTTAAATTCACCCATGATTTCTATTCTAGTTCTCGCATCTATCAAGTTAAGTAGTTATTGTTCTATGGAATGTTTAGTTAGTTATATTCGGTATTCCTGACCAGTATCAGAACTAATTTTTTTATCTGGCTGTTTTTGCCGTGAATGCCAAGTGTGCACATCAATTTTGTTCCCCCATCTTCTCTACAACTGCCTCTCATTTGGAACTGCATTGCATATTCATTTGGTCTAAGATAGTGCCAGAAACGTCAGCAAAATGACGGCAAAACTCACACCAAACATCCCCACGATCGACGTCATATCTCCTACGCTAAGACGAAGCAGTCGTGGAAGAAACAACAACACTCAGCAAGGCTGTGGTGGTTCCATTACAAACTAACAGCATTGTTCCCGTATCTAGTAAAAAGATCGACCTAAAATCATGTTCTTGACTTTGACTACAGGCAAAACAATTAATTTCTGAAGTTGGTACACGAGTCTTGGAAATTTTGCGATCAAACGGGTTCGTTTACTTTGCGTTTGGCCTTCTCGGTTTAACCGAAAAAGAACAAAGCAACATATTTTAGATTTAGCTCCGCGTGCGACGAGAGATAAACCGAGAAGAGATATTTTAAACGTTTTTGCGTAATCCTATCTAGAGACGATGTAACGATTAAATTTTCCCCGCTAATGAAGTGCCTTTGTGCGGAAATAATCTTATCTGTCGATACCTCGGCCCAACGAGCGAGGCAAACGCGAAAGATCAAAGCGGTAAATTGTTAAAAAATGATTAGAATACGTGCCTGTATTACACGATAAATATTTTCGCTAACCTGTAGAGGCGAGAGGCGACGGATCAAAAGCGACGATAAAACTTACCTATTATCAAATGCAAAAGGTGGTTATCCTAGAAAATGCTCTATTTCTTTGTTTACTAGTTCTAAGAATTATAAAATAAATATGTTTTTCACTTATACTTTATGTAGAGTATAAATATTAATAACATTATAAATAAAAAAGGCTGGTGCTATTTACGCAAATATTCATTCAATTCAATCCACAGATCGTTTATTTGGCCTCATATAGCAAAGGCCTCATAGCTTAGTCATACGAGGAAGAGAAAATTTTTGGTTAGTTTCGGTTAGGTCCTGACTGACATGATGGAAGGTAAAGAAGAAGGTAAAAATTACATTGTTCAAACCTTTGTCATTATTAACCTTATTTGTGTGAGCCTTCACATGGTTTCTAAAAAAATATTTTTGTTTCAGGTATGTTACCATTGCGAATTCAGATGACTGGTAAGGACCTATCACGATTGTTATTATTATATTATTTATGATATAAATAATTTCACAATAGGTGCAATATTTCCAAAGGCGTAATAAAAATAAATGTAGCCCGTAACCTCTGCGGCCAAACAAACTAAAATGAAAGCTTCCCGTCTTTGCTTCTTCTTAACGTTCAGGCAATTACTAAATTACCACGAGGCAACTAACGGAACCGACAAAAACTAGTCTATATCAGACGATCCGCTGAGCAAACTACTTAAAGTTAATTTCGTAATATATTTCAATAAAAGTTTTGCTCCCCGAAAAGTTTCACCGAAACTTGGAAGCGATAGAATGTCTGTCGTCGTTGAAAAGGAAAATCCAGTTCCGGCTCATTAATTTAAACTGTGACGCACATCGGCCTCTAATCTATGGGAGTGAAAGTATATTTTCCTTGGGTGCAGTTATAATTAAACCCGATTGACAAATTATCATTTTGTTCCTATGTAACATTTTTTCACAAATTTATATTTTTTATATCACAAATATCATCTATTTTTGAGGATTGAACTGAGTTGGCTTTTACTTGATGATAATAACCATTTATCAAAATAAATAAGAACTAAAAGTTCAGATTTTCACGAAATTGTATATTTTTGCATGACAATTGTTTGGACAACGTCTTTATCAAATGTCAACGTTGCGAAAGTTTCTCACATATAACGATTATCTGTGTTCTATTCCATACTATTAATTATTTGTTATCCTTTATTTCTGTTGTTTTTCTATTGTAATTTATATGTTTGGAGAGGATTAATAAATAAAAAAATATCAATAATATATAAGTTATTCCATAAAGTAAATTTTGACTAGTATCTTTCATCTTTAATAATTTAATTTGCATTGTCGTTTACGGTGAACTATGAAACAGTTGAATAGTGAAAATATGTACTGTTTAAAATTTTTTTAATAACTTATTAAGGTGGTTAAAATTTGAAACAATGTCTGATAGTTGATAAATTGGCAACTATGTTTTAAACTACATGTGTATTATATTTTTGTGTTTTTTTATGTTTTTGTAGGTTTATATTGTTTTCTTGTTCTTTTAAATGCTCGTGAATTAATGTAATGTAATGTAGCTCTGCAGCTATTTGTGAAGCAGAGCTGCAAATAAATAGAACATTTACTTCAATAACAAAAACAGATTTTTTTCTTTATTTTGGTATACTCAAAATATTTAATTAATTATGATGAGTCTATGAATATTGAACTAAAATATTTAAAACTTGCGTTAGTGTGAATGTGGAATGTTTTGGGAAAACGAAAAAGAAAGCAAAGTAATAAAACAAGCCTACTAATCATTGGTAGAATATTTGTATGTATTTAAACATTACGTCAGGGCATACTTTCATTTTTTATAGCCTTAACGTTACACATGCAACATAAGTGTTGTTTGACGGCTTACACACGCAAAGAAAGACACATGTTATCAAAAATATTGTTCTTCCAGCGTAAAATTTTTTAATGTTAACGTTCATATGTATCATTTAATTGTAATTTTATTTGTCGGTGCATATCCCTTGAAACATGCCGAATTCTAAGAAACTCTTTCAAGCCTCTTATTGCAGCTTGATCTTTGTTGCTGTTGACGTCGGAGCTTTGATATACACTATGTAATTCTGACGCAATTATTTCGATTATTGTTGGAAATTTGTCGATTTTTTATTTTGCATCGTAGACAATCTGGCTACGAAGCCGAGTCAGTACGAACCATAAGGACGTCTTTTCCGGCACTGTATATACAATACGTTCATTATTCGCGATAAAACAAGCTTTATCTCGCAGACGTTTCGTAACGAACGATGACAGCCTTGCGCTTTCGCGTCGTTTTTCCTTTCTTTCGACTTTTTATTGCCCGTAAACAATGCTCAAAAGCTTTGACTACACGCAAAACAATCTCCGTGCGAATACGTCTTCTGATACTGGATGAAATTGGGATTACGGGCTGACTAGGAGACATCGATGATCTAATTATACAGTCTGATCTTCCCGTTTAACCCAATGCTTTCTAAATGCTAATACCGGGAGTTTGGTAATTCTCGAAGTACGATTCCATTTTATCCGCGCCTCTGAAAACATCTTTTCTTATCAGACGGTTAATTCCTCCAGAGAGGTTTTTTGGGAATGATCGGCTTTAGCTTGTTTCGAGTGAGAATTTTTGCTATCTTCATTTAATCGGGCCTTTTGTATATTCGAATTACTCCTTTGATAATAAAGTAGAAACTCAACTTATGTCAGAGATGAGAGAGAAAATACACCATTTTGTTTTTCAAAAATTTTTGATGCTAGAAGGGAAAATAAATTCTCTCATTTCGTTCCTCACTTGCTTTTGTTATTTTTACTACCTCATAGTTTGAGCGTCCTTAAAAAATAAGATGATCTATAGTCGATAGAACAAATTAAGTTGCAACAAATATGGTGCAGTATACAAATAACCGAACCCTAAGTTATATCTCTAAGAAGGAGCGAGATGGAAAATGTTTCGCTATTCTCATTTCTTTAATTCTACTATAGTCTGACATATCTTTGTTAAATTGTGTGTTATATATACTATTCTGGTTGTTAACTTTGATTAATACTATTTCATTGTGGAATTACGTGTTACGTGTCTACTTAATACAAGCCAAATGCAAATTAGCAAATTCATTACTACTCCTAAAAGTTTTTACCATATTATCCTTAATCACATCTGTGCGGTTTCATAAAATTCCCTTGTTTGGAAAAATCTAAAAAAAAAAAGTCGATTTGGTAGCACTGTTACTTCTAAGCTTTTTATTTATAATTTCTAACAAAAATATGTGGTAATCAGTAGGGTTAATATGTGTTTGTTTAGCATTAAACCCATCATTTTTTATTAGAATTGCAAATTAGTAAAAATTCCTACTCGTATCTCTCCGCAAAAAGCGGAATTAATATTAAAATCTCGAAATTCGCGTATAAACATTCGGCAAAACAAAAATGACACAATCGGTTCTCGGGGCTTTAAGCAAATAGGAGTCCGGATTATAATTCGCCGTGAAATGAGTGCTACAAGATTTGCTTAAAGGATTAACTCGTCCGCTTTTAGCAACTTCGGGGGCTATGGCAAATAAAGGCCGGAACGAGTCACATAATTCTCTACTACAAAGCGTTTTTGGAGTCCCAACTACGGGCCGGCGTGACATCGTATCCTTCCTAATTTTTTTATGGCCTGCGAGTAGCGCGACACTAATCCAGTTTGCTAATGAAGAACTTCTCGCGTTACGAAAGACTAAAGCTTGCGACGTTCGTGAAAATGGCCTGCCCAAAAAAAACTCCACTCCATGGTTCGCGGCCGCTCGACCGGGGCACTTTCGCCGACGCTTTGGGTGTTTCCCGAACGAAACTGGTTTGGTTTATGACAAATGGAGTAACTATCACTTAAATCTGTCTCGAGAGAGTATGATCCTCGACGTGGCACTAAAATTAAAATCGCACATTTGCTTAAAAGAATGTTGGTGCCTTGATGTAAGACGGAATCAAAGTCTCTTGGGTATTTGTTTTCTGACCCGCCACGCTTAATATCATCCTTTGTTCACGCAGGGTGGCACGGCATTAACTCCTTGGCTCGATGGTTTCAATTACTTTACTTCGATTAGGTTTTGGGTGCATAAAAATGTTTTGTTCCCTTGAGATTTGACAATTGCTATGATTGCGTATGACTTTGTGATTATATCGAGCGTTCGTGCATAATAATTACGTTAAGTATTAAATGTCATGTTAATGAATATCAAATATTGTCCGGCAAACCGCCGCGTGTTAGTTAATTAAACTCATTGTGCCGGTTAATTGAAATATTTCATTAACCTTAACAATAGTCACGCACGGAATTGTCTTGTCATCGTGAATGCCTAACGGATCAAAGTTCTTCTCACACGTCCAGACCCGTTGTTTTGCTCATTTTGATTTATTCGCGGCGTGACGTTAATGTTGTGTGAAAATCGACGTTGATATGTCATCGCGCTCGTTATTAAAGAAGGGGGCGGGGGGTGCTGGTTCTGTATATTAATATTTTTGCGCCGATATCGACGCCAACGTAATGCGTTCGGTATGGCGAAATTGGATATTAAATTTGAAAGTACTCATCAAGAAAATCCTTGGGATGGGAGAGTTACGTAACTAATTTATCAAAGACTTCGAAGGGAAACTTTCCTTTAAGCAATTTAAGAGCAGCAAACTCCACTCTTACGGCACATTAACGTTATTTCCAGAGGCACGGGGTATTTCTATATCGGCGTGCAAAAGAAAGTGGTTCGCGTCGCACAAATCAGCCATATCGTTTATGGGGAAAATCGATGAGACTGAAAAGCTAGATTACTGCAGGATTACTATATAGATGTTAACAATATGCCTTGCCTAAATACGCGGCACTGGAATCCTAGATCCTAGTAGCCCCTCTACGTTTCTATTTAGACATTTATATTTTGGATTGAGTAAATTCCAAATAGCCCCAGCCATTATGAGCTGCTTTTCCTTGCTCTCCGCGAGTCGATTCTCCAGTCCGCTATAACCAATTGTTTATGTGTAATGGTTCCCTAACATTGACAAACCCCTTCGCAGATTCTTATGCTCTACATCGTACTATGATTCCCTAATATAGATCCCCTTGGCAGATCCATTAAGCCTCAGAGGAGCACTGCTTTATCTTATTGTCTTACTCTAGAAATATGTAAAGATACCAAAGCCGATTGACTTTCTGTGGACTAACTCCAATTACTTTTGACTTTGGTTAGTATAATGGCGACCTTTTTCCGCCATTACGCAGAATTCGGTGGTCATACATAAACGGCGTATCACTTTATGTGATGGTATTGCCGGAACGTTTATTACCGAGTGGAAGTAGTATGGAAGAGTTTTTAGACGGCATTTTGATTTTTTTTTTTCTGAAGAAAGTATTTTCATCAAACTTTTATCTCAACAAATATATCTGTTCAAGTTCAAGGACAGTACCAAGAGTCAGTTTTCCTGTTGGAGTACACTGAAAGAAAGCTCTTTAGGAACTAGACGCTTACTGTCGTAACTGGGTCGGTTTTTCTCAGCGAATTCGTGAAGCACTTGTATGTGTTCTTTGCTAATCACTCGCCGAGCAGGTAAACTATTCCCGGGAGATACGGTTCCGCGCACGGTTGTCCCCACGGAGAGTGAGAGGGTAAGTTCGGATTCGTTTTCTATTTGAAACGATAAATTCGTCCGCAACTCCCGTTACCGTAACTTCTTCCGCCTAACGACTTTCTCCCGCCACTACGTACGTCAGAATGATGGGTGGCCCATCTTCTGGGCCCTTGTAATTATTTCAATTTAATTTAAGTTGGTAATTGGTTTTGGTTGGTTTTGGATTA